TTTGTATTTAAAATTACCCATGTTTGTTGTTTGTTTTTGTATTCTCGAACCCCACTTTTCATCATTAAGAATTTGTCCTAAACATTCATAAGCTCCAATTCCTGTAAAGATACATTGGTACCAGCTACGACTTGGTGAATATCGATTAATATATTTATTAAACACACCAACAAATTGACTTTCAAAACATGGTATCATAATTACTTGTCATCCTACTTGTTGTATGCTGGTTTTTAATTTAGTTTGTATCATATGAACCAATATGTTTTTGAATTCAATAATTGCTTCAGGTGGTTGAGGTATAAGTCCAGTTCGAGGTGTATTATAATGTGAATGAACTATTGTTTCATGATGACTTAAGCCTGCTTGGCTTTTGTAACTTTTTTTAGAACATAGTTTACAAAAAATACAAGAATAAACTGAGGATGATATTTGAGAATGATTTTTAGTTTGATGAACTTTTTGCCAATGTAAGTATAAACCTTTGTCATTTTTAAAAGTTTTATGTTGACATAATGATCACAAAACTTGTGTCGGGTTAGAATTATATTGTGCCATAATAATAAGGTATACGTATTACATAGTATATATATATAGTATATATATATACAAATTATTTTTATAATAAAACAATTTATATATAAATCAAAGGTACTGATTACAGTATATCTAATTATATAAATTGTGTAATATTTAATATATATGATTTGGTGACCTAAAGTGATTTGTTTATTACATTTTGAGTGACCTAAAAAAAGGCCCAATTCTACAAATTAGCCCATATGTTACTATGTTGCATTATTTTACTATAAGTATAATACAAAATATCATAGAATCTTTTAGTTATTAATATAGAGTTACTAGTCTTCTTTACAACTACCCTGTAGTCTCCTAACATAATTTCTTCAAGTATAAATTTTTTTGGCCCATGCTCATGTATTTTTATTAAAAAGAGTAGTGATAGTTTAATAGAATAGTTTTTATTTTATTATATAGTTCATTATTTATTAAAGCTTTTTATTTTGATTTTAGAAGATTATTAATATATTTTTTTAAGATTCTATCAAAAGTACTTTTACTAATGAATATATACTTTATTTATATAAATAATAAAAAGAATATACTAATTCTGAATTAATATATGAAAACAAATTCACACAAAAAAAAAAAAAGGCAAAACAACCAAGTAAAACAATGTTTAATCAAAAAAAAAAAA